GGAGGGAGAGAGGGAGAAAGGGAGGGGGTTAGAAAGATAAAAGAATTACATAAGAAAAAACAAAAAACAAAAGAACGAGCAGACAGTCAGGGGTCTGACAGACAGGTGTGCAATTAGTCAGTTTGGAACGTTTTGAGACAATGCAGACCATTGTCATTTTCAGTTGCGTTCAGTACCTTATCTTTACTTTCGCTTTTTAACTTTTTATGTCCCCTTATACCAAGAGTGGAGAGTGGAGATTCAATTGCCGGACGTAGTCCAGGCACGTTGCTGTTTGGGTCGTCATGTTGTTCCGTTGAAGGGTCTCTTTGACTTCCTCGAGCTATCTTTCTCTTGGCCTCCCTTTTGCCTTGAAGCCATCAAATCGCATGTTGTAGGCATTAGAGACTGGCTGTTGTGGCCCCATTCTGTTTACGTGTCCAAACCGCCTTGTTCGTTGTCTCTCGATGTATTTCGTCCTCGATTCGACGCCCACTTGATGTCTGATGTCTTCGTTTCTTATCAGCTATTTATTTCAAGAAACCCATCCAGGGTTATTCAGATCTAAAAAAAAAGTTCATCCTTGGCGTCAATGGGCTTATTACTTGCACACACACTAGCAAAACATCAAACAAGAAGAATGCTTAGACGGCAGTAGTATTATTATCACAAGCTTTGTACGTGTGCCACAATTAGGACAAAAGAGTGTTGTTTGATGTTGGGTTGGGTTTTTTTTAGGGGGGGGGGGTGGTTTTGTTGTGTTTTGGGATCTTTTTAATTTTTTGCTAGGTTGGCCTTTCGTCGACAGATTGGCATAAAAAAAGAGGTGGACATGGGACAAAGTAAATCTTACCCCTGCGCCAAGAAGGTTGTGGCGTATTGGTGGCAACTATTGCCCCACCTATTAATGTTTCAGTTTTATCTATATTCCGAAGACCAACTCGGCTGAATCCTAAAAAATTATAGGATAAAGATGACGATAAAACAATGATAAAAAGAAAGTAACCAAAAAAAAAAAGGAATGACACTGGCCTGACACAGCTGTATCAAACGTAGACTTGTCGAAATTTCCCTTGCACAATAGTTTGTAATAAGGATTATCTAAAGTTTCCCTAGGCTTAACATAGAGATAGATGTGGCGCCAAATAAGCGTTTTATCTCATTAAGGCTTTAAGTATGGTTTAAAATTACGGCTTCAGAGGGGCACAACTACACGGCATCCCATAGAGAGTAGTAATATCGCTGAGTTTGACTTGAAATTAATACCACACTAGATACAGCTTTGGTGGTTTCAAGCGCAAGTGCTGTGTGGCCCTCGCCTGTATCCCCCCCCCCCCCCCCCAATCCCCCACCCAGACGCAACATCGAGAGAAAATATTCTAGGAAAGATTAGGAAATAAATAATAACTCGGCTTCGAAGCGCGAACCTCAGTAAAACAGATCAAGCTCGAACCCTTATATTATGCTGTGTTCACACATACAGGAGTAATGAAGCCGAGTAAGACTAAATGTTTAAGTCCAGCAGGTCAGGGCTATAACTGTGGATACATGTCACCGAGCAATCGGCCTCCCTCTCCGAATGACATTTCATGCTCGCCGTGTGGAATTATTACACGGGAAGCTTGTCAAAATTTTCGAACATGCTTAAAATTTTCGCCGAGGGAAAAATGAATCGCCGAGTCAATAACTCGCTCGGGGAAAACACGGGGAGTGTCAGAAATAGCTCTGCGGGCAAAGTTGCATACGTTGCCGAGTTACAGTGACACGCCGACGGGATCTGAATGGTTGCCGAGTTAAATTTTATACTCTGCGGGTTAAATTACAGCTCGTCGTGTATAAATCTTGCACGGGGAGTCTGAGTTACTCAAGCACGGCGTGCTAAAGTTGACACGACGAGCAGGCGCTGTGACACGTCGAACTTATGCGTCTCTACCATATAAACGAACAGCACACTGTCCCTGCCTCTTTCGCCACTCAGCTGCCGAACGATCCACATCTACGCTTGTTACCTACAAACCGACCATCTACTAACGTTACTATGCCTCCGAAGAAGTCTACGCCAAGGGCTGCTGCTGCTGAAACTCCACCTTCTGCAGATACCAGTCCGCATACACCAAATCCTTATTCATGTGGGTCAAGCCCTGCTGTCCAGCCTGCCTTCATGAGCCCTCTGGATACTTCTGCTGCTGTTGCCCCCAGTCCTGCTCCTGCTGCTTCTGAAGAAGAGCCCAGAATGTCTTCTACTCCAAGATCTGCATCTCCGGTGGTGGCATCTCCTGAGCACTCTCTAGTGCAGTCTGCTGTCTCCTCTCCAGCCAGGTCTGTAACTCCGTCTCCATGTCAGGCCAAGAAGACCAGTCGAGACAGGCTGCAGCTCACAGCTGAGGATGAAGAAGACCTCGTTGACTGGTACAGGGAGCAGGAGGTCTTCTTCAACAAGACTCTGAAGGGATACAGAGATACGCAGAGGAAGAATGCCCTGATAGAGGAGAAGGCCAGGTCCATGGGGAAGACAGCAGCAGAGTTGAAAACCTGGATTAACTCCATGAGGACCCAGTATGGCAAGCTGCAGAAAAAAGGACCTTCTAGGACGGGGAAAAAGACTGTCAGGGAGAATTGGATCCTCAACCGGTTCTGCTTCCTGAACGACCACATCCGCAGGATGGCAGGCCGGGAAGAGTCCACTGTGCAGCAACCTGAAGACTCGTCCTCCTCACACGAGGAGGAGGAAGAACATGTGCAAGAAGGTTCCCGTCCTCCCTGTGCCCTTCCCAGGCCTCTATCTGCTAGCTCCCAGGGGACGAAGAGGAAGAGGTCACAGGATGAGCCAGCCGGCCTCACCAACATCCTGGAGGAGATGCGCAGCTTCCAGTCAGCTGTGCTTGAGAGACAGCAGCATACTCTGTTGAAGAACTACGGTGAAGAGGGGGAAGCCTGGAAGAGCCTCTGCACAACCATCTTCTTGCAGGGGCTCAACTTATCCCCAGAGCTGCGAGAGGACCTCAGCCACAGCATGATGTCCAAACTTCTGGAGGTGAAGCAGGAGGCCAGGCGTCAGAGGCAGCAACAATAGCATAACCACTCCTCCTCTTCCTCCTCTTCTCCTCTTCTTGCACCAGCACAACAGCAAGGGCCCCTTATATATGCATGAAGTCCGCATCCATCGTCTGTGTCATATGAGACATGTTGGAGGAATGAGCACAAACATTTTGCCCCCCCACACTTGATATTTAACATTGAACCCCGACTAACTCGGCGACGGGTGGGCAAGATGGTCGGCATTGTCGGCGAGTGTGTTGGCGTGTGAAATTTTACTCGGCCGCTACGTTTCTTGGCTCTGCAAAACGCCAGGATTCAAACTACATTGTGTAATTGTTCGGCAAGACGCTCGGCGAGATGCTCGCCGTCCTAAATCATTGTTCCACGAGCGTCCCCTCGCCGACACACCAATGTCAACAGTCATGGCCAGATGCCAGTCACGATTCAACTCGAAATCGGCATAATCTTATCGGGAATTGCTCGTCGACTTTTCTTCTGTAAGTATGTGTGAACACCTCATTACTGCCCCTACAACGACCTGCTGATCAACGAAACCATACAACGGATGTCAATAAAATAAATGTGTAAAATGAACTTGCTTATTTTCCCTTATCGATATAATTTAGGTAATCTAGGAGGCGGGCTTTCGACCTTGCCCATCATGCCAGGGCTTAACCGGGCTGACTGAGAGGGATACGATATCTCAACAGGAAGACCGAGATACTTGATAAAAACGCTCCTCCTTTCGGGAATCGAACATGGGTCTCCTGCATGCGACAGTTAAGCGCCTAACTGCTACACCACATGCACTGGTACAACAAAATGTGACAGATGGGAATGCGTGTAAAAACATTATCAATATTGCGCAATGCCCGAACACCGATGCCAGGGCGAACGATGCACTATTAGAATTTGCATCGTGACCTAAAAATCCCCGTGAATTATGTTGACCTAATCCTAGACTGTTCAATAATGTAGCTATATCAAGGGGGATTGGTATGCTGTGAGAACACTTTGTGGGAAGTAATGCCATGCAATTTCCTGTTTGGGACAGGGCCAGAGCTAGGATAATGTTACGTTCCGTATAAAGGAAATACAAAGCAATACCAGATAATAAATAGAACTGGATTACTTTTAGAATGAATATTATCCTAGTTTTCTCAATCGGGGGAATTCTCTCTCTCTCTCTCTCTCTCTCTCCCCTCTCTCTCTCTCTCTCTCTCTCTCCCCTCTCTCTCTCTCTCTCTCTCTCTCTCTCTCTCTCTCCCCCCTCTCTCTCTCTCTCTCTCTTTCTCTCTGTCTCTTTCTCTGTCTGTTTTCTCTTTCTCTGTCTTTTTTCTCCCCCCCCTCTCTCTCTCTGTCTCATTCTCTCTCTCACTCTCTCTCTCTCTCTCTCTCTCTCTCTCTCTCTCCCTCTCTCTCTCTCTCTCTCTCTCTCTCTCTCTCTGACCTCAACTGTCTCTTTCTCTCTGTCTTTTTTTATCTTTCTCTTCTTCTCTTCCCCCCTCCCTGCCCTCTCTCTCTCTCTCTCTCTCTCTCTCTCTCTCTCTCTCTCTCTCTCTCTCTCTCTCTCTCTCTCTCTCTCTCTCCCTTTCTCTATCTCCCTCTTTCTCTCCCTCTCTATCTCATAAGAGTAAAACCAGGCCCATACCAGGCTGCTGAATGGCAACCAAATCCAAATAGAGAGTTGAAAGCGACCGCTGCTCCCTTTATATTGTGTAGTTTGGGACATTTCGATTGGCGGTTGGCTGGAGGGTGCCACTGGTAGATCCTACTTTTTTTCTTACTTTCCCTCTCTTGTTTCTGTCTGTCTGTCTTAATTTTCCCCATCCAGCACTAAATGACCACCAGTGTGTCGTCAATGTGCTTCTCTTTAACACAGTCATGTACATGCATGTATATCGATGAGTACTCATTTAACCCAAATAACCACCGGTGTCACTCAGTGCGCTCCATTTAAGGGTCAGAACAGCATAGAAATTCTTCCACTAATCAGGTAAGCATGACTGGGTCGTCGCTGAAAATACTGAATGGTCACTGCTCACTTGTGTATCTGGGGCGTTCAATATGTTTTTGCCCAGACCTGAGAGGGGCGTTCAATAAGTCTTTAAACCCTGACACACCAGGGGCATTCTAAAATTCATTACCCTGACATACAAAGGGTGTTCAACAATTCTTTACTGTGACATAGGGGGGTTCAGTAAGTCTTTACCCTGACATAATGATGGGGTGTTCTGTAAAGTCTTTACTTATGACATACAAAGCGCGTTCAGTAAATCTTTACACTGACTACGATAGGGTGTTCTGTAAGTCTTTACTATGACAAACAAAGGGGTTCAACCACTCTTTACCCTGACTTAAGAGAGGCGTTCAATAAGTCTTTACCCTGACTAAGTAGGAATTGTCGTGAAAAAATGAAATATTGCAGAATGGGATTTCTATCTTTCTGGGGCACTGCTTGCGAAGCTTTGAAAAATTCCGATGTGCGGTTGAACTTTGAAGCACTTTTAGTAAACAGTTCTTGAATACGAGGGAATCTGTGGATATTTTTTTCCTGTTGCATGACAGTGGTCCAACTCACTGAGTGGTGAAGTCAACTTAAACAGCAAGGCAATAGCTACGGGGTTCGCTCCCATCCACACTGTTTACCCTCTGACTTTTTCTTTTTCCAAAATCTGAAGAAATTTTTTTTTATCCAAGAGCAGCTTTCTCATATATTGATGAAGAAGCTATATCTGCAGAGCAAGAATGATTTGAGTCCTCTCTGATGTCATATTATGCTCAATGACTTTTGAAGGTCAAACAGAAATGATGGCAAAACTGTATCAATTCTCAGGTTGCCTAAGTAGAGAAGTAGTATTCTGTGAGATCTAGAATGTTGGGTACGACATGTTTCCTCTACTTAAATCGTGAAAACCGATGACTCAGGACTCAGGACTAGCCCGTAGTAGGAAATTCCTTTGTTGAAAGAGGAAAGTACTCTCCTGTTCTTTACATAGAGATCCCCAGCCATTATGTTATGCCAGATTACGCCCAACCCACTGTGTTTGTCATACCTTTCCGGGCGCACTAAGCGGTCGCTCCGGTTCAGTGAGCTTCATTGATGCAGAGCGTGTTATTCTTCCACCTTTTAATTCTTCGCTGGGCTGTACCTCTATATTATATTATCTGAGCCCAGCACCCATTTTCTCCCAGAGCAGCGTTCCAATCTCGTATACTTTGTTTTTAAAAATTGTCCTCTCTTTGATAGAAACGCATATATACATGTATTTGCAGACTACGTGTGTATTGTTAGGCAACTATGAAAAGTTGACATTTCGTTTTTATCTCCTTCTAACAGCATGCCCGGCACACATCTAGATTTAGTTGGTCATATTTGCATTTCCACAAAGACACGCCTTCTTTGTTCTTCCACTTTACCATTCCCATTACTTTACGAAACGTTTGATTCCTCTCTCTCTCTCTCTCTCTCTCTCTCTCTCTC